GGGGCACGAGTTGTGTGGTGAACGTTTTTCCCTACCTAGGCTCTGCCTAGAAAGGTTCTTACTCTCTTAGCTTAAAGGGGCCGGCCAGTGCTAAGCGCCCCGGGCGGTTCCCCCAGTCCCCTGGGAGCGGTTCCCTCCAGTCCCCTGGGAGCCTTAGCTTTAGCTTTAGCTTTAGCTTAGCTTTAGCTTAGCTTTAGCTTAGCTTTAGCTTAGCGTTTCGCTTAGCTTTTCGCTTAGCGTTTAGCTTAGCTTGAGCTTAGCTTGAGCTTAGCTTGAGCTTAGCTTGAGCTTAGCTAGAGCTTAGCTAGAGCTTAGCTTTAGCTTAGCTTTAGCTTAGCTTTAGCTTAGCTTTAGCTTAGCTTTAGCTTATCTGCAGCTTAGCTGTAGCTTAGTTTTAGCTTAGCTGTTGCTCAGATTTAGCTTAGCTTTAGCTTAGCTTTAGCTTAGCTTTAGCTTAGCTGTAGCTTAGCTGTAGCTTAGCGTTTAGCTTAGCGTTTCGCTTAGCTTTTCGCTTAGCGTTTCGCTTAGCCTTAGCTTAGCTTTAGCTTAGCTTTAGCTTAGCTTTAGCTTAGCTTGAGCTTAGCTGTAGCTTAGCTTTAGCTTAGCTTTAGCTTAGCTATAGCCTAGCTGAAGCTTAGCTGTAGCTTAGCTTTAGCTTAGCTTTAGCTTAGCTTTAGCTTAGTTTTAGTTTAGCTTTAGCTTAGATTTAGCTTAGCTTTAGCTTAGCTTTAGCTTAGCTGTGGCTTAGCTTTAGCTTAGCTTTAGCTCAGCTTTAGCTTAGCGTTACTGTCACTACTAATGCTGCTTTCCTAGGGGTCCCAACTCCTAGGTAGGGTCGCACCGGGATAATCTTATTCGGCGTTTCGACATTGGGCGGAAGGGGGCTGGCTCCGGACACCTCTGCTTGGTGCGACTGCTTGCCGCAGTGCGTCCCATGGGGGAGACCCCACCTGCTTGAAACAGGCGCCAGAAGCAGCCAAGACCTACTCCATGGGGGGGGGGTGCGGGGGCCCTGCGCCACTCGGCAAAACACTGAAGGAGACAACGATCGCTTGTCTGAGCGAGCCGAGCAATCTGCTTGGGCACGAACGTTGGCACCTCCTGGGGGGTTTTCCCTTTGGGATCCCGAGGCGCCCAGGGCCCCACCCCGCCTGTCGAGAGGCAGCCTCCCGTCCTCGTCCAGGGAGATTGGGAGGCGGATCCCGAACTCTGGCCCGACGGGGCCTGCGGAGACGGGTCTGGCATGCATCGGGCAATGCCAGACATCCGTGGACGTGGATGGGCGGTGGTCCAAGTTGGGACGAGAGGGGTTCCGACTCGTGCTGTGTGCGGCCCTCTTCCAGGGGCGAGCCAGACTGCAGGGGCTGCCACGAGGGAAGCCATATTGCAGTGCATCGCTCACATCCCGAAGGTCCGAATGTGTGTGTGTGTGTGTGTGTGTGTCCCATCGTTTAGGGGCGGTCCATGAGAGCAAGTCGTGGGACCCTAGTTTTGCCGAGGCCCGAGGGACTCACGCGTCGATCTGGCGGAGACTGCTGCAGAAGCTTGGGTCGAGGCGCCTGCCCGAGTCCGACTGGGTCCCTGCCCGCTTGGAGCTCCATCACTTCGTGTTGCAGCGTCCTGAGAAGCCACCAGAGTAGTGGATTGGGAACTCGTGGGCCCACTATGTTGCTAAGCTCGGGGCATTGTCGCCCTCAGCTCCCGAGTCTGTTGCACGCCATTTGGCATGTCGGCTGGCGCCTCAGGAGGAGGCTGGCTGTGTGTTTGCATGGGCCACGGCGCAGTTGGCGTCGTCGGATGAAATATCGTGAACTCAATGGTGAACGGATCGACGCGTCATTGTGGGGGTCGGGCTCCTGGGGCCCCTGGTGAGAGGCCCATCCCGTATGTGCCCCTCGGGCTCCGGGGCACACGACCTCTGGGCCCCGGGGCCGGGTCGCCAAGATCGCAACACCTGTCTGAGGCAGGCCAGGACTGCTTCCACGGTCCTGTGGGTGGCGCCTGGAGGTGGCCGCAGGGGTGAAGCCTCCGCGTTCCAGGCCAGTGGTGGCCAGACCCGACTTCGCAGGGGCCGTGTTGCGGCAGCCACCCCCGCCACGAGATCCGAGGCCGTCCAGGTGGCGCCTGCGGCGGAAGCTGCCCGTGATGTTGCTGGTGCGGGTGGCCGCCTGTGGGCCCGGGGACCGGGGCGCGTCCACGTGGGAGCGGCCTCCGTGTCGGGATCGGGGGACGGGTTCGCCTCCCCTGGGGAACCGACTGGGCTCGGCTGGGCACTGCACGTTGTGTTATAACCGCGGGGCGTACTGCTCGCAGCGGGTGGGGCTGCTCCCGAAAGGGTCGGTGCTGGGAGCGGCTCGAGCATGGGCCAGGGGCGGCCAAGGCACCACTGCTCGTGCGGGCCAGCATCCCGAGGCGGTAAAGACCCTTTTAAACGTGTAATGTGTGTGTGTGGGAAGGAGAGAGAGAGAGAGAGAGAGGTTGTGTGTATGTGTGTTTGATTTGATGTGGCCTGTATGATGAGCGCGGACGCTGCACCGCAAACAGTCCCTTGTCCTCGGGGTGCTGTCAGGTACCTCGGTGGCACTTCCATGGCCGTTGTCCCTGCTATCCTCCTGGGCACTGGTCTGGGTCTGGCATGGGGCCTCCTCCTTCAACTCCCTCTGCTTCTCCTCCTCTGCCTCCTCGCCCTCATCTTCGTCATCCCCATGCTCCTCCTCCTCCTCCTCCTCCTCCTCCTCTTCCTCCTCCTCCTTACCATCTGTCCCCCGTTGTCTGTCATCCGTCCATCAACAACTACTCAATATGAATACTACTCTCCCTCTTCCCCTGATGACGTCTTGGGAATATTCGCCCACCCCCCCCGCGTATTGTTTTTTACACACAGGTTTCCCCGGAGTTGGGTTTTCGCCTGCATTTGTTTCCAAAATGCTGCTCTCGCTGAGGCGCCGGCCTCATGTTCGGGCCCCGCTCGTTCCGAATCGTGTTCCCGCTGCAGCGCTGGCATCATTTTCGCCGGCGCCCGGGCTGCACGCTCGAGCCGGCGCCCGGGCCGGCGCCCGGGCTGGGTCCGGAGCCTGTTCCGGCCGGCGCCAGAAAATCAAGTTCCGAGGCGGCGCCGAGAAAAGGCCGTTCTAATACACATTTTCTTTTTGAAAATGCTGAATTTCTTCTTCCGGCGCCCGGGAGGCCTCCCGGGCCGATTCCGACGCCCAGGCCGGCGCCCGAGCCGGCGCCCGGGCCGGACGCCCGAGCCGGCGCCGGGGCCGGCGCCCGGGCCGGGTCTGGAGCCCGTTCCGGCCGGCGCGGGAAAATCGAGTTCCGAGGCGGCGCCGAAAAAAGGCCATTCCAATACAATTTTTTCTTTTGGAAATGCTGAATTTCTGCTTCTGGCGCCCGGGAAGCCTTCCCCGGAGTTAGGTTTTCGCCTACATTTTTTCCCAAAATGCTGCTCTCGCTGAGGCGCCGGCCTCATTTTCGGGCCCCGCTCGTTCCGAATCGTGCTCTCGCTGCAACGCTGGCCTCATTTCCGTGCTTCCGCTCGTTCCGAATCGTGCTCCCGCTGCAGCGCTGGCCTCATTTCCGCGCTTCCGTTCGTTTCGACTCGTGCTCCAGCTGCAGCGCTGGCGTCATTTCCAGTGCCATGCCACGGCATGCAATGCAATGCCAGGTTGATACTACGCTTCGCGGTGCTCTTCTACGCCATGCCATGCTGTGCTCTACAATGCATCGCGTACCCTTTCGGGATCATCGCCCTGCTTGACATCTGACTGTGCGAGTAGAGAGGGAATCTGCGCCATGGTAAGGGATGGGAGGGAGGGGTATGATGTCAGATATGACGCGAGCGCACCTAGCTTGCCTTCTCTCCCCTCCCCCTCCTCCACTATCTCAAGGCTCATGGTCATTGTAATGCCCATGCTCGTTCGACACTCATGCTTGTGCCCGTGTTCCTTTTCCTCCTTGCACTGCTGTTCCTCCTCCTGCCCCTGCCCTTCCCCATTGTGGTTCTCGGTTCAGCGACCACTTCCTCTTCCTGATCCTCCTCCTCCTCCTCCTCCTCCTCCTCCAGCTCATGCTATTTTTGGCCTCCAGTTATCCTCCTCCTCCTGTTTCTCCTCCTCCTCCTCCTCCTCCTCCATCCCCTCAACGTCCTACCCGTCTCCTCCTGGCTGATTTTTGCTGCTGCTGGTGCTGCAGCCACCGGTCATCCTCCTACTCCTCCTCCTCCAGCCCCCCTCATGAGGAGGACGAGGCTCGGGGGTCGAGACTCTGCTTCAGCTGCTCCTGCTGCTGCTGCTGCTGCTGCTGCTGCTCCTGGGCCTCCTCGGGCCTCTGGCGGGACTGCCCGGTGCTGCAGCGGAACGGCCGAGGCCGAAGCGCCGTGCCGCACGACCCTCCTCCCGGCACCGTCCTCCAACCTGGGCTGCCCTAGCGTGCGCCCACGAGCTGTGACCAACCAGGCCCCCCCTGGGGGTCGTGTTCCTTCTTCTCGTCGTAATAAAAAGGGAGCGGGTCACAACCCTCCCAGACGAGAAGTCTCAGACCCCCCAGACCATCCATGGAAGGGCGGCCCTTTGCCCAGACCCCCCCGAACCCTCCAAGACAGCTCAAATCAGACCCCCCCCCCCCCAAATGTGACCCCCCACTTTATTTTGGAACCCAGAGTAACCAACCAGGTCCCCCGGGGGGTCGTGCTCCTTCTTCTCATCATCCTCCCTGGGAGGGGGGGCCCGCGGTTGACCAGCTGTCTCGTCGAGCGCAGCCACGCCTTCCCCCCAAAACTGGGGAGGCACTCGCACGGACTGGGCTGCTCCCCTCGCGAGCTTGCCAAGGCACGCTCTGCCTGCTTTGCCTGATGATGGTGGTGATGATGATGGTGATGCTGATGATGGTGATGATCATGGTGATGGTGATGCTGATGCTGGTGCCGATGCTGATGCTGATGCTGATGCTGTTGCTGCTGCTGATGCTGTTGCTGCTGCTGCTGCTGCTGATGCTGATGACGATGCTCGTTGCGAAGCGAGGGCCGTTTCAAGACGCTCATCTCTAAAAACGCTCCAAAATATACTTGCCATGATACTTCATGCATTCCTGCATCAGCGCTTACCCATGGAAGCGTCGCGGTTCGTCATGTGGTACTGCCTGGCCGGAGGCAGGTTGGCAAAAGACTTCAGCTCCGACTTCTCCATGTACTTGGCGTAAAGCGTCTTCACCTTGTCTGTTTGGCCGTCCGCGGCGGCGTCCAGGAGGTCCTCGGAGATCTCGGTCTGCTGCGCGAAGTCCTTCGGCTGGTTGCGCCAGTACGTGTTGAGCATCTTGAACTTGTTCTCCTTGGCCAGGACGGACTTCATGTCCCCGGACTCCACGGCGCTCTGCAGCTTGATGATGGCGGGGCCATACCGCTTCATGCAAGTGACGGGCTCGCCCTGGAAGTCCGCCAGCGCGGCCTGCCCTCCCAGCGCCGCCGCCGCCGCGGCAGCCACCTGCAGCGCCTCGCGTCGGCCCGTGGCCGGGGCGGCCGCGAGGAAGGCAGCCGAGGTCGGTGCCCGGAGTGCCGCGAGGGCGGCGAGGGCCGCGTAGGCCGCCGCGGCCAGCAGGCACGACCGCACGAGCCTCGCCATCTTGGGGTGGGGCTGCGGGGCAGCCGAAGGCTGGCGGGGGTGGTGACGCTGAGCCTCGTGCTCGAGTCAGCCTTGAGCCCAAATGGCTACGGATGATGAATATGAAGATGAAGATGAAGATGAAGATGACGATGATGATGATGATGATGATGATGATGATGATGATGATGATGATGATGATGATGATGATGATGATGATGATGATGATGCTGATGCTGATGATGATGATGATGATGATGATGATGATGATGCGGATGCTGATGATGATGATGCGGATGCTGATGATGATGATGATGATGATGATGATGATGATGATGATGATGATGATGATGATGAAACGGTAAGACACGTCCGTCTGGCACGTCATCTACCAAACCGAAACACGGACGAGACTTGAACATATGGACCGGTTGCTCCGCAAAGCGGTCCAGAACGAAGCCGCGGCTGACAAGGCAGGGGGTTCGACTGGTTTCGATGCCAGACGTACGTGCGACTTCGTGTGGGCGGCTGCTGTCGCTGACGCGGGCTACTGGCTGAGGAAGCTCGATGAGTTGGCATTGTTGCTTATCAATCGGAAGGACGCTCCGAAGGGTAGCGACGACGCCCCCATCTCCACCCAAAGCCGCGTCTTGGATGTTGCGATGGGCTCCGAACTGTTGGCATACCAGGGCTGGGGATCCAAACCACAGGAAAAAGGACATCGGGGGCGACGATGGGGGCGAAGAGCCCAGGGGAGAGCAACACATGTATCCAGGGGCGCCGCTGGTCCATGCCCGTTTCGGGCGAATGCATGTAGCGTCCGCCCCTGGGCTGTTCGCCCCGATCGTCGCCCCCGAGCAGGGGAAGGGCAAGCTCCACGACGCGGCCGACGGCATCCCCCAGCGGCACCGAGCTGGCCTGGAGCCCTGCTCAGACTTCCAGGTTGGGGCTTGCCCAGCCACGGCGCGTGGCATCCACTTTGCGCCAGGCGCGCCGAGAAGGCCCTCCCGTGTATCCGCCGCCGCGGCAACCACCCGGGCAGTGTGCCCCGCGCGGGGGCGGCGCCTGCGCAGGGCCCGGGGCCGAGAGACGGGGGCCAAGGAGGTGGACATCGTCCTCCTCCTGCTCCTGCTCCTCCTCCTCCTCCTCCTCTTCCTCCTCCTCCTCCTCCTCCTCCTCCTCCTCCTCCTCCTCTTCCTCCCCCTCCTCCTCCTCCTCCTCCTTCTCCTCCTCCTCCTCGTTCTTCTCCTCCTCCTCCTCCTCCTCCTCCTCCTCCTCCTCCTCCTCACCAGGGAGGCAGAGGCCAGAAGTGAAGAGGTCCCCGTCGGCCGTGCCCCCAGGTCCTCATGCCGACCCACGGAAGACGTGCCAGACCCGCAGAGCCTGGTGGAGGCTGGACACCGCTCATGGGAACCAGCCGCGGCTTTGACACACAGTCGTGACGACGATGATGATGATGATGACGATGATGATGATGATGATGATGATGATGATGATGATGATGATGATGATGATGATGATGATGTGATGATGGTGATGCGGATGATGTTGGAGATGATCATGGTGATGATGACGATGATAATGATGATGATGATGATGATGATGATGATGATGATGATGATGATGATGATGATGAGGAGGATGATGATGATGATGATGATGATGATGATGATGATGATGATGCTGATGATGATGATGATGATGATGGCTGATGATGATGCGTTCGCTGAAAATGCTATACCAAAGTACTGGGCAGTGACTTGTGCGAGCTCGGCTGGGCGGGAGCTTTAACACACAGTCGCGACGTTGACGATTTCGGCTACCCTGAACCCAAAAACGTTTTCATCTCCTAGGGAGCGTGTTTTTACGTCCGCCGCCTTCCGCTTGCTTCCGCCGGCGGAGGCGGCCTCGTTTTACTTCTGCCGACCTTCCGCAGCCCTTCCGCCGCGGAAGAGATGACAATTCCTTCGATCCTCGAAGGCAAGGCCGTTTTTGGAACCCCTCATATGACTCCCTCTGGGAAAGGGGGGCGCTTCCACCATAAGCTTCTGGGCGCGATCTCGCGTCACAAGTTTGAGCTGGGCCACAAACTCAGGAGGGTGAGCTTGGCATCGAACTCATCGAAACCGATGGTCAGCGAGGGCTCGGCCAGCGGCAACGTCGACGACGCGATGGCGGAGGCCAGCGTGTCTGCGGCAGGCAAGGCTGCCCAACGAAGCACGGGGATGTTCGTCTTGAAGTCCGCGCCGCAGCTAGCACCCACCCTTCCTCCACCAGCTCGTGGCCCGCGGATTCAACGTGGTCAGCGCTGTGGCGACAGCGACGTGTACATCGGGCGTCATGCTTCTTTGGATTCGGCCAGCTGGGGCAACCCGTGCAGGGTGAGGGACTGCGGCTCACCGGCAGACGCAGCGCACTTGCACAGAACATGGCTGCGCCAATCCCTCCAGAGTCTGGATTGGCTTCTCTCTTTGTCAGGCAAGGCTCTTCGATGCCGCTGCTCTCGCGGTGCGCCGTGCCATGCGACGAGCCTCACCGATGCAGTCGTCGCTGTGCATTCTGCTGCCGAGGTGAACTTAGAAACGATCAGCGCTTCACCTGCGGAGACCAGGGACTGGTTACGACGGTGGGGTCCACATCTCCGCTCCGTGTGCTTGCCTTCGGAGCCGTTACGCGCCAACGGCACGGGCTTCGAGTACTTCGGGCGGCCACGTGGAGATGCCTGACACGACGATTAACGCAGATACCCATGACCTGTCAAACCAGAGCACATGGGATGATGATGGTGATGGTGATGATGATCATCCTTAGCATCAACAACATCAGCATATCTTGTCAGGCGGTTCAAAGCACGGAAATTCCACAGTGCCATCTCCTCCCCGCCGCGATCCACGTTCTCGTCGACAGGGCAGGGCGCCGGCGCGAGGTAACTTACAGGCGGAGGCGCTGCTGACATGTTGGGCGTCAGGCAGTCGAGGCCGCAAGGGTTGAACCATGTCGACGAAGAGACTCTGACCGTGCTCAGGGCGCCGGAAGTGGCGCAGCATGGTGCGCCTTGTGCTGCGGAAGCGCAAGCTCATGCAGACGGGCTTCCGTCAGTTTTCAAGCTGCCAGACTACAGCAAACCTGTGTAATAAGGACGCGCGGTGAGGATGCAAGCGCCTTGGAGCCCATGTCGACACTTTGCGGGCGGGGCGCGGCCAGCAAAAGCGGCCAAGGATGGGCCAAGGGGGAAGGATGCAATGATAGCCTTGGAAAGCTGCTCATCCTGACTATGCAGGTTGACTGCACGCCGACGTAATCAGGGAAACGTGCTTGGAGCTCGTGCAGTTCGCCCAGTGCATGCTCGGTGAGAGGACGCAGTGGCGCACGAAATGATAACCTTCAAGCCTGACGTGACGGCTTCCCCTGGTGTGTGCAGGCATGCGGAGCGAGCGTGTGGGAACGCATGTGGATCATGGGCGTTCGCTCCGCATTCAGGCGAGGCGACGGCAATCGAGGGCGCGATCATCAAACGCAGACGCTGCTGCGAATGCCAAGAGCTCCGTTGCAGGAGTGGCCGTCGCGTCCCCTGCAGATCTTAACACATGGTTGACTATCTGCTTCGTGCTCTCCGAGGGTAGCCAGATGGAGCACGAGGGCCCAGCGCGTTCCATGGCAAGTCTGCGCTGGATCAGATCGCGACATCAGATCGGATCGAGAGCGGATCGAATCGCCAGCGGCGAATCGTCCCGAATCGGATCGGCATCGAATGGCCGCGCCCCGCTTCTGGCTGGCCCTGGCCGATGCCGGTGAATAGAGTCGGATCGCATCGAATTGGAATCGCGGCCCCAGCCGGCGAATCAAATCGCATCGAATCGTATCTCAGGTGAGGGGCAACGATAGGGGGGGACTGGCATGGGGGGGATGCATCGACCTGGAATCGACCTGATAGTGAGACTGCACCTTCCTGGGCAGGTTGGGGCTATCGGGCCCCTATCGGCGATCAATGGGCGATTGGGGCTCGATGCAGCTACCCCTATGCCTATCCCCCCCATTGTAGCCCCCTGATTAGGCGGCCCTGCCGTGGTCCGCACCGGGCGCTGTGCAAGCGGTCTGGTCAGACGATGCCTGGTCAGAACGAGGGCCGCGCGGACCTGGCCAGCGGCCGGTGGTCGCGACCACGCCAGGCTGCCGCTGCTTCGACAGGCGCAGGCGCTGAAAGGTAAAACGCTGGTGCAAGGCGAGCGCGCAGACTTCGACGCGCACATCGGCGGGCTCTCCGCGACACGCGGAAAAGCGCGCGCAAGGTCCAAGGTCTCGCCGGCCCAGACTGGCGGCGGAGCTCAGGCGCACCCTTCGAGGCGACGCTGGAAAAGTCGAAGGACTCAAGCGAGGAGCTCCGCGGCCTCCTGGGCGCAGACGGGGCTGCGCCTTCCAGGAAGGCCCTCGAGCACGTGGACGCTCGACGAGAGGACTTCGGCAAGACCTTTGACGGGCGGCTAACTGCGCACAGCTTCGACACCGGTGCCAATAATGCGCACGGCGAATTGCCAGACGGATGAGCGAGGTCATCTCATCCACGCTTGGGCTCTTTCGGCCAGGGACCACGATTCGGAAACAATTTACCTGAGGTCGCTGGTCAGGCCGAGATGCTTGCGGAACCCGCGCCAACGGACCCCGCTAGCTTTGCCAACTACGCGGGGGTGGAGTCAGAGTCGGAGGTCGTCGACGCGATCAAGAGCTTCCTGGACAAAGGGTACTCGAAATAGTTCGACACGCTCGAGGCGTTCACGGCCTTCGTAGGTGGCGAGCCCGTTGTATCCAAGTGTGATTGCACCACGCAGTCGAAAGTCGACCCGAGGACGGGCCGCGTGAGGCTGACGCGACGGAGCATTTTGGCTACGAAGGCGAGCAGAGTGAAGCGTGCCACAGTGATCGGATACAAAATCGGTCCTGCCGCGAATCGCTGATGCAGTCGTCGGGGCCCTGGGCCAGCTGCACAACGTACGGGGCGACCCAGAGGCTGGAGTGGAGTGCTACATTGCAGATGTTAACGACGCACTTCGGCTCATCCCCGTGCGCCACTCCGAACGCAAGGACTTCGTCAGAGAGCTGGTCGACGAATGC